CATATTATTTTAAATATTTTAAATACTCAAAACAGCCAGTAAGCGCCCCTGGGTTGAGTGAGAATTAGCACTTATATTATTATTTTATCTTTTTTAAATAATGAGAGCAACCAGCAAGCGCCCTAGGGTGTGTTGTGATAGGTGCTTGTGTTATGATTTTCTCTATTATGAATACTTAAATCAACCAGTAAGCGACCTGGGTTGTATGGAAATCAGTGCTTGTTTTATTTTCCTATATATCATAAATAATTAAAACGACCAGTAAGCGCTAAGGTTATGTAGAAATCAAGGCTTGTTATATTATTTTATACATTATAAATAATTAAAGCAGCTAGTAAGCACCTCAGGTTGTGCAGGGATTGGCACTTGTTTTATTATTTGATATTTTATGAATAATAAAAGAACCTAGTTAACGCTCTGGATTATGTGAACAAAGGCTCTTGCGTTGTTATATTTATTTCTTAATATTTAAGGGAGCCAGTGAGCGCCCCAAATTGTTTGGGAATAGACGCTTTTGTTATTATTTTATCAGTTTTATTATTCAAGCAGCCAGTAAGGGCCCGGGGTTGTGTGAATATTGGCGTTTGTTTCATTACTTTATGTGTTATAAACAATTAAAGCGTCCAGTCAGCGCCCCGGGTTGTGTTAAAATAGGCGCTTGTGTTATTATTGTATTTATTATAAATACTTAACAGCCAGTAACCACCCCATTATGTGTGAAGGTTGGCAATTGTTATATTATTTAATCACTGTAAAATAATTTTACCCCCCAGTAAGCATCTTGGGTTCGAAGCCAGTAAGCACCTTTGAAATTCGGAGTTAAAAAAAAGTTTCCTTGATCTTTTTTCAGTCTGTTTGATGACACTAAAGTCTTGAAAATGATAGCAATTAGTTGTATCTCATAAATTATGTCTTCTTCTTTAAGCAGCTTTTTGTAAAATTAGTCTAAGATGTGTAGAAAAAAAGTTATATTTATTTAAAAAAAGGTTTCTTACGGGGCACTATTGTCACTTGAGGTAGGGCACTATTGGCACGGGCGACGCTACAGCGCGCTGATACATAGCAGACATGACCTTACTTATAATGTAAACAAACTTTAATTCGTTTATTGTTTTTCTCACATCTGGTTCATAGAAATTAATAATAATAAGTAGTAAAAAATCTAAACGGATTGATAGCTGTGACTCTCATATGAAAAGAGTTTTTTCCAGTCGTAGTGAGAACTTGAATATGCACAAAGAAAAAAATATATTTGATATTCAATCCATGCCTATTTTTTTTAGTTACTTAAATGCTTAAAGATTCTACTCTTTTATAAATTCATATAACTTGAAAGTATTATTAATAATATTCTTTGCATAGCATAAATATTATGAATACTGAATAATCATAAACAAAGATGAAAGACAATATTTTATAAGAAAAAGGACAGTATTCATTAATCTAAGTTCATCTACATTTCTCTTGTAGAAACGTTCCTCAATTCCGGGGGTCAATGCAAAAATCATGTACTTTTGCCAATTTTTCATTTAAACCACTATATATCGCGAAAGATAAGTTAGACGGAGAAAAAAATAACACCATTCGAAAGAGGAGAAAAAAATGCATTAAAAACAATTATTTACTTAATCTTAACTGACGTAAAAACTCGAGTAAAACGGCTGTGAATAAGCTGATGCAAAATTACAAGCGGCGGAGAATGTAATGCACGTATATATATAAGTAGTGGACGGCCACAGCACTCCAGTAGTATAATATATATTTACTAAGAAACGAGCAGTCTATAATTCTATACTTTTTATTTTTCTCTGCAATAGTATACCACAAGCTAAGGTTTAAGGGTGGTTGAAAATTTAAACCAGCGGCGACTCTCACTTACAACTAAATTAAGAATCTTCATGATTTGAGGGGATCCGAAATATATTTTTTTTAATTTTCTTCTGGTAAAGAGTAACGTAGTTATTGAGATAGTGCCATGTAGTCGATTTTATAAACTAGCTGCAACTTAGGCCATGAGATAATTTTTGGTATGTCAATGGTGCTAGTATCATTAACGGGAAGAATAAATTATATCTTCTACCCAAAAATCGACCTCCAAAAACATAGATACTCCAATTTTATACATAATTTTATCTCCAATCTATTATCTTAGATGATTATATAGCGGTGTAAAAAGGTCAGTTTCCCCCTTTATTAAATCCGAACATTGTCGTAGCTTGGGCTTTACTTGTAACTATTGTAAAAAACCGGCTCATAAGTTATCGCTTGGTTTTGCTTTTGTGTGGGGAGTCCATTTTTTTGAAGGTCGATTTTCGGGTAAAAGGTGAATTCTAATCTTGCCTCAAATGCCACTTTCACAACCCAACTGTTGAGTGTCTATCTGTGGGTCTAAGTGCGGCTGGTTTATAAAATAGATTACATGGTACTACTTCAATTACCACATAACTCCATACCAGAATGAAATATAACAAAAGTACTTACTTCAGATTGCCATATAATCATGAAGTACCTCAATTCTGGGAGAAGTGGCGGCTGGTTTGGATTTTCGACCACCCTCGGACCTCAGCTCTTAGTCTCTTGTGTTCCAGGTTCGAGCTAGAGTCCGAGTTAAGGTGTGAATCGATCGGTCCGATTTCTCTAGAATGTATATCTGTGTATACATATAGTTAATATACAGGTATCCTTCTTGGGGAGTTGGACCGACGATCCGACTGATAATTACCACATAACTCTATACTAGAATAAAATATAAAAAAAATACTTTGGATCTTTACGAATCATAGAATTCATAAATCCTGGAAAGAATCGCGGCTGGTTTGGATTTTTACTACCCTTGGACCTCAACTCTTGGTCCATCGTGTTCCAGATTCGAGCTAGAGTCCTAGTTAAGGTATGAATCGATCGGTCCGATTCCTCTGTGTATACATAGTGAATATAGGTGTGTCCTTTCTTAGGGAATTGGACCGACGAACCATTACAGAAGAAAAACGTGTCCAAAACTTCCCGACACTGACTGAGGACTTCACCAAAGTTAGTAAGTCTGGCCCCACGCCCCAGAGACTTTCGATAGTGATTAGTAGGTATAGGCTTTCGAGGGTTTACGCATAGGATACAGCGGGAGAGACGGATTGTAGCGAGGATAAAAATTTTCTTCGCAAACGTGAGTTGATTGCTAATGAGTTTTCTTATAATGATTATTTCGTTGACGGGTATTTACGTATTCTATTCAGCACTGTTTTACTGTTCACCTGCAATTACTTGTTGTCATGGCTTTTTTGTAAATTGTTTCGTCCCTATACATGAAAGAGACGAATTTCGCCACATACCTACGTATAGCTCGTCTTTTCTTTTTTTTGTTGACAGTTGAAAAGTGGTTGATGATTTGCTTTCTGGCCTCAGATACAGGTTAGAGCGCAGAAAATAGCCCGTTTACTGTTCCCCCGCGTGTTTTTTTCTTTAAGTACATACATTTTTTATTACACCTATTCGGAATGTTGATTTTCGCATGTCACCGCGTAAACTTTGTAGTATACCTAATCTAATGTGTGATTAGCGCGGTCCGTTGTGTCATTTGTAGACAAAAAGATAACCTCAAACGCGTTTCTAATGTCTGAAAATATAGATTTATCTTTATTCTAGTCGTTAAATTTTCTCGAGTTCGCCTTTCTGTCGTTGTCAGTGCAAAATTTTCAAATTTTAGGTAATTTTTTTCATTTTTCAGAGATAATCCAGTAAACTAGCAGTCAAAAACGTTAGCCTTTGTATTTGGTTACTTTGACTACCTCGTTAATTGAACAACAGACAAGGTGAGTTACAATTATTTTGCAATGCGTTTAGCTCAGGGTTACACTTAGTCATCGAATGATTTAATTTTGGAAATAGTATGCATCAACTCACTATTTGTACATATGCGTACAGCTTGCCTTTCATACATTTTGAGATAATTTTTTGGATTTCATTAATAACGACCAAAAAAAATTTAATATCTCGCTTTACATGTCGCTAAATGGCTCGATTTTGTTGCAGATGCAGACCATCAAACTGCTCAGTAACGACAATCAAACGTTTGAAGTTGATGTCAAGGTAGCACAATGCTCCATGACCATCAAAACCATGCTGGACGACTTGGGTATTGCTAATGAAGAAGACCCGGATGATCAGCCAGTGCCTTTGCCAAATGTCAATGGTGGGATTCTCAAAAAAGTCTTGGAGTGGTGCAAATATCACAAGGATGATGCTCCTGTCAGTGAAGACGACCATTCTGACAAAAGGACAGATGATATATGTGACTGGGATGCTGAATTTCTGAAGGTAATTAACATTTTTACCAATCACTTTTCTTAAATATCTATGCCCCCTTTTGAATTTGGTTGTAAAGTAACTTATACTCATAATCATTACGTTTTCTTTTTATGGCTAATTATGTATTTTGTGGTGGTTTAAAACATTTCAACGTTTTATTTTATTTACTATCAGTATTTTCATGTTTACGCTTCTCATTGTAACAATTACTTAAAAATGAAAAATTAAATAAAATTTAATTATCCAGTATTTAATCCATATAATATTACTCCAATACTTACACATTCGCACTATAAAAATACGTTGTTCTATCACCATTTAATTACACTTATAATCGCTTGTAGGTGGACCAAGGAACATTGTTTGAACTCATACTAGCTGCTAATTACCTCGATATCAAAGGTCTCTTGGACACGTCTTGTAAAACGGTTGCTAACATGATCAAAGGCAAAACACCAGAAGAAATCCGTAAAACGTTCAATATCCGAAATGATTTTTCTCCTGCAGAGGAAGAACAAGTTCGCAAAGAAAATATATGGTGTGAAGAAAAATAGTCCTAAAGTTCCTTCCCATTTTTCATTATTATTTAAGCCGTATCGCTTGTTTTCAAAAAATGTAAGTAATGTAAATTAAAAGTTCCGTGAACTGTTCTATTTTTGTATTTCTGAATTAAGCGTTACTCCATTAAAAGAATAAAAGAGTTTAAATATCCAGTTTTAAGCGTATGCATAGTTTTTAGTACTGTACATTACGGGGTTAGATGAAAACAAGTCTACTATTATTGTTAAATAATACTGTATAGCACTTTTTCATTATTGTTTGTAACAAACCTGAAAACAGTGTTGGGATGATTTCATGTTACAAGTAGTTCTTAAGTCTCTTGTACGTAATTTTAAGAATCGTTATTAGAAAATAGCAAAAAGTCTGCTATACACTATGCGGATTTTCACACAATATGTTGTGGTTTTGTAAATTTTTATGTCTTTTCTCTTGTTTGTAACTTTGCAAGTAATTTTATAAAAAAATAAACTTAATGGTTCTACACTAAAGTGTCATTGTTATTTTCAGCAAATCTTTAACCAGTACATATAGGCTATCATTTGCTCAGTATATCAAATGTTACAGTTCTCGCTGACGTAATTATTTATTGTACAACAGCACGAGTTGACTAATTCTTGCTAACTTAGTAACGTTGAAATTGGAGCCAAAAATAGTTGAGAACTTGTATAAAAGATCATAAGCTTTTTAATGGAATTAAAAGTTAAGGGCCTTATAATAAATTATTTTATCGAGAATGTTATGTGTGCGATCAGTATACATGTAAAATGTGTGCCTGCTGAGTTTGAGACCCCCACAGGGCCTTTTTTTTTTTAACAGTATCGAGTACCACTTGGCACTAAAAAAAATGTTAATTACTTTTTGTCATTCATTGTGATATCTTTATCCTTTAATATTACAGCTAAGAAATAAAATGTTACATATGGTACTGGAATTCGTAAGTAAATATTATGTCAAACAGTTTGATTAGAATATTCTACCTCACTAATGAGTCTCATTGGTAAAAAAAATTAAAAATTATTACGTTTGTAAATTTGCAAAAATTGTTAATCTGAAGGAAACGTTGTGGATTAATTTGTAACCTCAATTAATACAATTAGATCGAAGAAGGTGATTGTAACAGACTGTTATTGCATTATATAATTATTTAGGGGTTTACTCTACATTGTATGCACACTTAGTGGAACTTTAATCTGTCCTAGACCCTATTATAGAACAGACAACCTCATTATGCCGCGCTTCCACAATAGGGTCCGGGACAGATCGAAGTTCCACTAGTACATGGAGAATGAACTTTCGAAAAATGACTTTGTCTACGTAGTACGTACATAACACATACTGGAGCGAAGAAAAATTTATTTCTCAAAGATGATTCATAGTTTTTAATGGTTGATACATTTCACAATCCTAAAATGTATTACATGTAAAGATACAAAAAAAGTAGTTAGATCACCTTTGTCGAACATAAAGCTTATATCGCCAGCTGCTTATCCATTTTGTTTTCCCACTTGTGTATTAATAACGATTCAGTTGTTGAGTCACAAATATTTTTCACCTGCACTCGCCTGTTATGGTAATTTCCGCTCTCAGATAAATATCAAAAATTGCTACAGATTTTTGGAAATTATCAGTATTATACAAATCATATGATCCAATTTAATACATTTCTTATGTAATTTGTTTTATTCGTTAAAAACTCCACATTTTCATTGTGCGCACAATATGTGTTATAAATTCATAAGAAAAATATAGTTATTATGGTCCCCATGAGCGCCGTTGCCTGAGGTCAAGGGTTTTCGGAATAGAAATTTTCCTATTTTGGGCGCTTTTCTGTACCTTTGCACATTTACTGCGTCTTTAGTAAAAAAAAAAAAAAAAAGTACCACTAGGAGTCCCAGGACTCCCAGGCACCAGTTACAGATTTCTACTGTTTTACTAGCAATGTGGGTGTCTCGGTACGTACTTTTTTAATTAAACAGTTTTTTATTTTCGGAATTTTAAATTGAACTCTACGAGAGTCTTTTTACCATTATTCCCATAACTGTGTCCCATCAATTTGTAGATAGTCCACCCAATTGAAAATGTCTAATAAAAACTGATAAAATTTTTTTTCGTCTGTTTATATTCGGTTTTTGCACTAGAAAAACCACATAAAAAACAATAACGTTCAAAAGTTAATTTTTCTCATATCTATTTTTTTACCAGCACAAGATTGAACATAAGTAAATTGATAAGTTAAGTACTACCATCTGGATGGCAACACCAAAACAGGGGGGTTCATGGGTTTTACGTGGAATTGTAATAAAAAGTTTTTTTCTTACTTTTTTTAAGATTCCATGTAAAATACTTGAACCCTCCTGTTTTGGTGTTGCCATCCGGATAGTACGACTAAATTTGATATAAGAAAAATTAACTTTCGAACGTTATTGTTTTTGATGTGGTTTTTCTAGTGCAAAAACCGAATATAAACAGACGAAAAAAAATTTATCAGTTTTTATTAGACATTTTAAATGGGCAAACAGATAGTCATATCAAAGCTTTTTGGTACTGAATTTTTTTTTTGTACTGACCATCTTTTTTAACGTTTTAAGATACATGTTACTTACAGCTGATACCAAAAACTACTTTTTTTTTTTGCATTCCGTGCAAAGTAATTTACTGGAAGCAAAGTGTGCCCATGTGTGCCAAATTGCTTTTTTTGCCCTCAATTCGCTCCGAGCCGATACAGAAGTTGCGCCCCCTCTAGCCAAAATCAGGCAACATTTCTTGCATGTAAACAAACGGTTTAGAACATATATACATACGTATAGCTGCTTGTGATTGGCTGAATAAGACAGCAGGAGAGGATCGTCGTTCTCTCTCTAGCTTGCCAAGTGCCAATCACAAGCAGCTGTACGTATGTATATATGTTCTAAACCGTTTGTTTACATGCAAGAAATGTNTGCAGGTGCAGACCATCAAACTGCTAAGTAACGACAATAAAACATTTACAGTTGATGTCAAGGTAGCACGATGCTCCACGACCTTCAAAACCATGCTGGACGACTTGGGCCTTGATGAAAACGATGATGATGATGAACCACTGTATTTGTCGACTATCACAGGTACTTATCTTTTGAAATAATAATCTAAGGCTTATTAATAATTGTTAATAACAGATTATTTTTATAGTATTATATAATATATCACATGGAAAAAATTTTTTTAAATAATAATCTTTGCGAGCACTTGTACGAATCGGTTTCGGGGACAAAAAAATTATTAATAGTAAGTAAGTATTGAGAAGTTTTAGTAATAACTTGTGACAGATAATTGAGGTTAATAAATTTTATTAGTTGTCTCAAATCTAAACTTTATGAACTGCAGTTGTTATTAGTTTTTTACTTTGCACTTTTCATTTAAAATAGTTATCACCAATTAATCGAATAAAGTTATTTTCGCGAGGATTAAAAATACAAAAATATATTACGTCATAAACAGTAATGACGAAATTTCGAGCAAGTAATACAGTGTAATTTCTGAGAAAAATTGTAATTTGAAAAAAATATATATATAATACTGACCATGTCACTAGAGGGGTACATTCGTAAATCCGAATCGATTGGAAACAAAAGAACGATATAAATATTTTATTTCTTTTTAAAATGTGTCCAACATTGTCTAAAGCTTATCGTATGGACAAAAAATTGTTACATATCAACTTGTAAAATTATAAAATAATTCTTTATGATGTAGAGTAAAATAATTTCGTATAAAATTTTTGAAAGTTTCAAAAAGTTCTAATAGGAAACAAATGGTCAAAAATTTGTAAAAAAATGGCACGGATTGCTGATCCGATTTCCAAATTGTCATAATAAGTATAGATATTTCCCAAATTGTTTAAAAAATCGAAAGATAGCTCAAAAGGTACAAGAATCGTTTTCATTGTGTAAATGAACGTAAAATCCCACGAAAAATCATATTTATTTAGGCAGGAAATTCTGACTCAGGTCATTTAATTCTCATTATACGCAGCCTTACGAAATCGTCATGCATCCATTTTGATTACCCCCAACTTTCTTTATCGTTATCACCTCGTTAAGTAGGTGTACTTACCGCGTGTGACTAAAGTAGCAAGGTTTTCACTGTTTCTTTAGCCTCTTAACCCGACACTCCGGTAATTTTGCTTCATCGCCATCAACTGAAGATCCGGGGATCATGTCAGAACTGCCAAAAAAAGTTGTTGCATCAGACAAGGTGAGTTTTACACTTTTCTTTGGTACCAAGAAATTTTGGAGTTAAAGCATCAAAAATACATACAATAGACGTATACGTATGTGCTTTTATCGTGTACGATATATTTCGTTACATACATCTCAGCAAGTGTATATGGTCGTGTCCCAGCTGTTTGTAAAATGTGTCAAACCATGGTTGCACAGAATGAAGTGTGTCGTATAAATATCATAGAGATGCAATAACCAAATTTTTTCACGAGATTAGTTGGTAATATTGTAGCCTGCGAGAAGTGGCCCGTTTTACGTTTTATATCATATACCTACCCATCAAATCTTTGTTTCTAAGAAACTTTATCGATATTGAACAACTGTGGGGCTGGCAAGTTGGCAAGCTCAGCTCAGAGAGCGCTTGGGAGAAAAGCCTCCAGCCAAAATGGGATTAGAGCATTAAATTTGAAAACAGCAAGTATACCTATATGTATTCAGCGCCATGTTTGGAGGAGAGATATACAGATATATTCTCAGCCCCATGTAGTTTCACTGTTTCCCAATGTTCGATTTGTACAGAAAAACTGCATTAGAAAAAACAGCAATACACGCTCACAGAAACACGTACTTAGCGATACATTTTTTCAAAGTATTAAACTAAAAAAAAATACATTTTTTGTGACTTTGTAGAGGAAAAAAAATGTTTATTGTTGGACGTCCGTGTATAAGTAATTGTGAGTTAGTATAATGACGTGTGACAATTTTTTTTTTGTTTTTCCGTTGGTGGCGCTGTATGAAAAATGAAAATAAGCCTTATTCCGTTTTATGAGTAAATGTCTATACGTTTCGTTGCAGGTGCAGACCATCAAACTGCTAAGTAACGACAATAAAACATTTACAGTTGATGTCAAGGTAGCACGATGCTCCACGACCTTCAAAACCATGCTGGACGACTTGGGCCTTGATGAAAACGATGATGATGATGAACCACTGTATTTGTCGACTATCAACAGTGAAATTCTAAAAAAAATCCTGAAATGGTGCGAATATCACAAGGACGACCCACCTGTCGACGAAGATGATTACGAACAAGGTTGTGCATCGAAAAGTGCAGATATGAGCGAATGGGATGCTGAATATTTCAAGGTATTTTTTTTTTTTTTTTTTTTTTTGGTAACTTATACTTCCCTTACGTATTTATTAAGTATATGCCATGTTACAAGTATGATGTTGATGAGTAACTTTCATATTGGATCAATGCATTTTTCGTCTCGTGATAAATACTGTATTTTTTTCTAATGTTTTATAAAATTTTATGTTGCATTGATGTCTCTTGAAACAAATTGAAAATTAAAAATCATAAAACAAAACTTTTTTAAATTTTCTGTGTGTGCATTAATTTGAAACGATGCCAACCTGATGTAGAAACAAATGCCAGTGTCAGTCATTCTAACTAAAACATTTTTTTTCTATTTTTTTAAATGTAAATGTTTAGCGTTCGAAATAAATTCTTCATCCTGAAAACCTATGAATGGTTTTCAGATTTTTTAACGCGCTGTATGTATAAATTGCCAAATATATTAACTTGCAAGAGGCCATCATAACGTGGTATTCAGCATAATAATTTTTTCCTACGCCGATATATGTATATGATAGCTATATGTTTTAAGTTACTGCACTTAGCGATAATCCAGTAAAATATATTTTTTTGTCACACAATTGACGTAGTTAATATTTACAAGCAATTATTTACATTCACAGGTTAGTAATCAAACTTTATTTGATATCTTACTTACTGCAAATTACCTTGATATCAAAGGACTCGTGGATGCGGCTTGTAAAAAAATTGCGTCTATGATCAAAGGCAAAACATCGGAGGAAATACGAAAAACTTTTGAGGCTGAACATGATAAAGCCACTAACTAAAGTCGAGGATAAATATATTCTTTTTCTACTCTCAGTTGTTTGAAAAAAGAATTTGATTTTATTTAAGTTATTAGGTGAGTTAGAAAAAATATGAGACAAGATTTTTTTTTTTTTATTACGAAAGATTTTTCAAAAACAGCACATACTAATACGGACATGTAATACTTCAATATCGCTCTAAATTTGTGACGATCAAGACATTTTACCAGTTATAGTTTTTTTATTTTTATTTACCCTTTTGTAGAAAAAACAGAATATTTTTATAATTTTTTGATAGTTTACCTGACAGACCAAGTAAAATAAAAATTATTTTTCGATGCAACGTTTTTTTTTTTTTTCATTATTTTTCTCATATGTATATATTTTTGTAATTTACTTAAAGTAATTTTTATGACTTTTATTGTAACTTTGTTCTGAATAAACTAAAATTTTTGGTTGAAGTGTTGTTTAGTTCTGCATTGTTTAGTTGCCTCTTTGCCCCTACCGAACCATACTTAATAGAATTGTTAAAGCCAAATTAATTTTTTTCTTTTTATGAAGAAAAGCAAGTTTTCAAAGAACGTATGTGGTTTAAAGAAAAATAATTCTGGAGTTCATTATTCAAAATTAATTTGAGTTGAATCATTTTTATCAGCTTTTAACATTATATTAACAAAACTATTTTAAGCAAGTAATGTTCTTCATATTCAAATATTTCTTTAAGTTTTCATGGCTTTTACATTTTCGATAGTATAATTCGGTATAATTAGTTTTCTATTTACACATTTATTTTCTATAAAACATTAATAATCTCCTCTGTATTACCCGGAAATTTTACTATTATATAAGTTATTCCCCAGATAAATGGCACTTGTGTACCAAACACTGTTATATTATGATCCTGACAATTACATAAAATGGCTAAATAATTCTGTTGTAGTAATTTTTTTATTTTAGGAAAAAAGGAATAACAAACAACCCACGTTACTACGTACATATAAATTGTACACATTGTACACTAAAATATAGAATTTTTAACTCAATATTCAGTTACATTTTTATGAAATTCATAAAAAATAAAAGAAACCACTGTTATGTCAAATTTTTTAAAGTAATTTTTTAAAATTCATTTTCGTTAGGGACAACGAAAAATATCGCAATAAAAATTTTCTTGAATATAATTCTGAGAATCATTGATTAATATTAATCTTTTTAATTTTACTATAATTTTCCTTGTTTACAACGCACAAAACAGTTGTAATAGTCATTTTTTATCAATAAATTACTAAATATTTGCTAATAAGACACTTTCAATGATTTTTATGTTCGTGTTGTCAATAAAACGTTATAATGTTCTATGACGTAAATACCATTTATTGTACGATTGTGCGAGTCATCAATCATTCTTGTACCAATATCTCTAACTTTTCGCTTATCCTCATGTGGACGACGTAGAATTGATAAATCGAAACAAAACAGCGTAAAATAAGTGAGATGCTCTTAATATTTCTAACACGTAAGAGCTAGAAATTATCATTTATCTTGGCCATTTCACGTACGTTAAAGAAAAAAAAAAAATCAAAATTTCATAGAGAGAAAAAATAATATAAATTATAAAGAAATTTTAGAAAAAGTTATCATTCTGCACAGTAAATCGGACACAAGTTGGCAAAAAAGGAAAAAATACTATTTTTAACAGTTAAAATTATTGTTTTAGCAGTTATAATAATGGTTTGAATTGTAAAAATTATGGTTAGTAAATTTTATTTTTCAGTGTAGTAATTT